ATATGTGTGTATGTATATGTGTGTGTGTGTGTGTGTGTGTGTGTGTGTGTGTGTTCATAATCATTTCATATATTCTGTACATTTTTACAATTTAAGCATACCTGTTGTCATTCATGCTTTATGTGTTTAAAAAATAAATTTTACGGTGTGTTTTGTTTGTTTCTTTTGGAAGTGGCATCAGACAACGCTTCAACATGAGAGCAGGAAACAGCTGCAAAGAATAAAAAAAAACCTAACTGGAGTGATGAACATGACAGTAGGGAGGATAAATGGAGGAAACGGTCATAAAAAGAGTTAACGGGAGGACAGAAAAGTTGGTGGAAATAATGAATCTACTTTATAAAAAAAGAAAAAAGACAACGCAAGTAGATTATAATAGCATGTCAAAGAAAGATTTCTGTCATGAGAGTCCGCTGGAAAACTGAATTACTCTGGATTATAAACAAACGTCTTTGTTTCCTTTTATTGCAGCCCAAACGCAACAATTAATTCATGACTTTATTTCCAATTTTTTTTAGGAACGCACTTTAAAAGTGTGATTAGAACCTTTAAGTGTAACCGTGAATTAAAAAAGGTGAATTAGTTTGGATTATTTCAATTAAGAGAACTAACTTGTGCATGCTTTCAAACTTTGCAAGCATATTTTATCGTCTTTGCAAAGATTTATTGTCAAACCTCTAAATTAATCAGAGATCGAACTTCTTTTAAAACACAGTGGGAAGTCAGGCTGGTGTCCTCGGTGATCTGGGCTGTGATGGTGGTCAAGATTAACATTTAAATTGGTGAGAAACAGCCCTAGAGAGGTGGAGACGAGAAAGTCAGAGCTGGAGGAAGGGTTTCAACTAAAAAAAAAAAAAAAAAAAAAGGATGTGTGTGGATGAGAGCAGGACGTCATGGTATGGAAAAGGCAAGTGAGTGGAAGGGGAAGTGGGTGTGTTGGAGATTCAAGCTTTTTGGTATAAAAACTCTCCCTCTCATGTCTGTGCTCCCATTTCCTCTGTGTGGGGTGTATTTGGAAGGGGTGCAATATTGTGTGTTTGTATGTGTGTGAGAATTTAAGCCAGAAGCGGTGTGTGTTAGTGGCTGTAAAGCACAGAGGACTTGTGCAGGATGGATCGGCTGCTGGTGGTCACTTTACTGGTCGTGGCACTCTGTTTTCTGGGGAGCGTGGATTCTTTAGCTTATGACAAGATAGTTTCCCACAGCCGCATACGGGCCAGGAAAGAAGGGTAAGAGAGACCGATCTCTGTAAAAACAAACAAACAAACAAACAAAAAATAACATTTGTTTCTTTAATACTTGAAACCAGTGTGATTAACAGTTTGTGTCATTGCCAACAAGTTGTGTGTTCAGAAGGACTGAGGATGTCAGACATTCAGATTCATTTTAAATTATACAAAGCACATTATTTATGGTCAGGTCAGATTTAAACAATATATAAATAAATAAATCCTATTATTCAAATATGGATATTTAGGTTTTTCTCTCCTCCCTTTTATAACTTCTGTCGTTTATTGGAAATTGCACCTGTAATTCAACGTTTTTCTCTAATTATAGCTTTTACACTAAATGTTGACTTTGAGAAAATGTATTAAAAAACATTTAAATTGAGACAAAGTTTGGTTCATTTGCATCTGTTATTTTACTGATTTTTAATTTGGATTTTTATTCATACATTCAACAACTTCTAAACTTATTTATTTGGGTGCCTCTTTTTCATCATTAATTTTAATGAGCTTTCTCCACTGTTTTAGTCCCAATGTGTGCGCTCTGCAGCAGGTCGAGGGGACCAAGAAGAAGTACTTCAGCACCTGTAGAAACTGGTACAAAAAAACCATCTGTGGCAAGAAAGCGTAAGTTTTTACCAAAACTCTGAATAGATCAAACAAGCTTTTTTGTACATTTTTGCTCTGAGTCCAGGAACAAACATCTAACCAAGGCTCAGACCACACCCAGCTGTAACATGTTTAGCAGATAAAGATGGCCATCAACAAATGAAAGTGCCTGTAGGGTCTGTTTGGATCATGCAACAGAACTTGATCCAGCACTTTGTGCTTCACACTCAGTTAGCTGAGCTATCAGCTCGCCTTCCAAGCTTTGACATCCCACATACTGTACACCGTAAAACAATCCCCGTCATTGTCTTCAATCACTCCACCCTTTGTCTCGAGCCTGGGCTTGTCCTGCAACCCGCTGGCCTTGATCTATATAAACCCCATAATCTTTTACATGCAGAACATTTTCTATCATTTCTAAGTTTTGTCTTAATGTTTGGATAAAATGCATCGAGCTGATCAGGTTTCGATGCTTTGCACAGTTTTTGAGGTGTTGAAAGTGCACTTTAATTAAAGATAATATAGAAATTAACTGATCACGCAGGAAATGACTGAAGTGTGTATACAGGATTTTATTTGACTGTTTCAAGTGTATTTTTATTTTCAAGCCAATTACTTTGAGCGTGTTTGAATATAGGGCTTCTTTGAGATCCTGGTGCCAAAATTCAATGGTTTATGAAAATCATGATGCATCATGGAGCATGAATGTTTCAGTCACTGTAAATTGTTCTTCATCACACAGTATTCACTGAGTTTGGGGCTTAACAGAAGCCATCTCATCAAGTGCGGTGGAAGAACGAGCAAAGCTGCACACTCTTACTCGTCCCAAACCCGCACAAGAACATTCAAGCAGATAGACACACCTGTTTCTGTTGAAACACCTGCAGTGGAGTGGTTCAACCGGAAAAATAAAAAATGGATATACTTAACACAATAAGTTTTATTTTAAGTACAATGCCATGCTCCGATGACATCATTGTTAACCCAAAACACAGAGCCTGGGCCGGATTTTAGCAGGGGCTTACAGGGGCTGCAGCCCGGGGCCCCGGCATTTCAGGGGCCCCGAAGGATGTTTTATGTTTTTGTGAATGGATAGTGTCAGAATTTAATCAATGACTATGATGATTTTGACAGCACCGATGAAAAATGTTCCAATTTGTTCTGGAAAACGTCCATCTTGAATGCTTGCTTGTTATTGGTCCACTTTTGACGCATCTTACGCATTGGGGAGGAGCGTCAGGGAATATTATTTTACAATGACAGACAACAGTGTTTGTGGTTCTAGTTCCTCCAAATAAGATGAATGCAGAAGTGTCATTAATAAATGGAAATCTGTATTTTGTTCTTCATATTTTTCAAGATGTTCTCTGTAAAAACCTTGGTCTATATATATATATATATATATATATAGGGCCCCCATATACAGTATTGACTCCAGCCCAGGGGCCCCCATCCTGACTCCAGCCCAGGGGCCCCCATCCTCCTAAATCCGGCCCTGCACAGAGCACACAATACTAAGAGCAGACCAGATAAAATAATGGGTAGGAAGATGCATTGTTTCCAAGATATCGAGTAGGATTTTTTTTTATTTCATTGGAGAACATCCATCCATCCATCCATCCACCCATTATCTTTTACCCGTTTCTTCCTTTTCGGGTCACTGGTGCTCATATCCAGCAGTCACTGTGCGAGAGGTGGGGGACACCCTGGACAGGTCTCCAGTCCATCACAGGGACACATAGAGACAAACAACCATTCACTCTCTCACTCACACCTAGGGGCAATATTTATTATAATCAAATATTAACATTTATTTTTCAGTTTCCTTCTGTCGAAAACAGTTGAAATTGTTTGAACGAATGTAAAATGGACAAAATAATTTTTGATCCAGTAAGTTTTAGTCTCAGAGATGAGCTGCATGAAAACTGCACGCGCTTGAAAACAAATTTATCAGCGTAAAACAAAAATGTCACCTTTTTTCTTCCCTCTTCCGTTGTCTGTGGCAGCAGCTCAGACATTTTTGAGTAACAGTAGAAGTAATCCTCCCTTGCCTGCAGCTGTGGTTTTGTCTCAGCTGGACTGGATGCTGATGAGTGATTAGACGAACATGTTTGAGCCCAAAGTGAGACTTTTAATACCCTCCGGTGTTCAACTGCTGGCTGAAGGATCAGCAGGTGTCGGGAAAGGATTAAGAGAGGACAGCAGTCAAAACATTTTTATATGTAAACTGTTTATGATGTGAAAGTGTGTAGAGAAACTAAAACCACTGATTAAAACTTCCTTTTAAAATCATTCAAAATGACTCAAGTTGGTAAATATTCACCGCGTCTTCAGATCTTTGGTAAATGTATTCTTTTACAGGTAAATCTGCTTCCACGTTTAAAAAAACACAACTTAAAAATAAAGATGCACATCTTGAAAGAATATCTGTTTGATCAAACCTCTTAAAGGACAATATGTGCTCAGACTCTGTGTTAGGGATAACTCTCAGCTACTACCACACCAAGCATCGGCTAAATATCTGAGAATCGGACTTTTAAAGTGCAAACCGAGCTTAAAAAAATGAAGTGGGATGAAAGAAGAAAAGGCTGAAGTTGTCTGAAGTGGAACAGGAAAATTAACCCCCACTCCTATATACTAGATAAAAAATGAAAGGAGGTAAAAGGGGAGGAGGAGGAGGGTTCTGTGGCCCTGTGATGGACCTGCGACCCGTCCAGGGTGTACCCCGCCCCTCGCACAGTGATTGCTGGACATGGGCACCAGTGACCCCCATGACCCAAAATGGAATAAGTATTAGGAGGCGTTTTCATTTTGTGTTGTAGGGTGTAACTGGGTGTGGTTTTTCTCCCCAAACTGAATTAGTTTAAAATTCCTCTAAATTACTGTTTTATAGCTATTTGATGAAATAGCTATTTTCGTGTTGCCTAAGGTCGATTAGCTGTGGCAGCCATCTTGAAATGGGTGGATGTTAAACTTTAATCAGTTGTAGGCGTACATCCCATGATTAATTTACTGAAAGTTGCATTAAAGTACATCCAGTAGTTCTTGAGGTATTTTGTTAGCACAAAATTGTGTACGTTTTTGTAGGGACCAGTTTTACTAAAAATCACGCATTGTGGGAACCAGCTGCTCTTTATGGGGAGCAAAGCCAGGTGGAGAAGTCTCGTTGAGGGGTTAGGGGACTAAGGTTGCAGATGGATTAGGGTTAGGTAAGTAATAGTAATGGTTAGGTTTAGGGTAAGGGTCAGGATTAGGCTATAGAAAATGAATGGAAATCAATGCAAATCCCCCAAAAAGTATGTTTACAAGAACATGTGTGTGTGTGTGTGTGTGTGTGCATCCCCCCACTGTGTTTTCTCATCTTCTCATCTGGAAACCACATTTCGCTGATGCCGACTTGTTGCGAGCTGGCTTGTTCTGTCTCTCGTCTTTTCTGCATCTATTATCCTGTCAGAGAACAAGCCAAGGAACAGTGACTTCATACTCTGCTGACTGCCAGCATTGGTGCAATGCAATTTATGTATTTGAGCATCATAAAAAAAAAAAAATAATGTCCAAACAGGGAGACAATACCCCAATGTGATTTTATTTTAAGATGATTAGCGAGGTTAACTTGGGTCTTTTAAGGAAACAAAGGGAGGATTTTGTGACGTTGCATTACTTGGTTTATGGCTTTGCATAAAGAAAATCATTTATGAGTTCTGTATTATATTAAAAAAAGAGAGCAGTGAACATCAAGGCTGTGTAATGAGTGCTAAGGAAACCTCTCCAAACAAATCTCTTTAGTAAATATGTTGACAGCTCCAACTGGAACCCGTGCATGGGGTTGAACCCTAGTCAAGAGCTCTGCATCTGTTTTTCTGCTAGATCTTTGTTGAGCTTCCATTACTGACTCGCTCACTTGTTGGTTTGAGTCTCTGAAGATCTGCGCGAACCTGTAGACCCCAGAGTCAAACTGCATGAGCAAACCCTTAAATTCTACATCTCTAAGTCGTAACTCACAGTATTGTTGTACATAAGTATAGTTCACAACTTGTAATGAAGTCCAGCCCAAGTTCCTGTGAAATGTTCAATTCCCTGAGGAGTGCTGGTCAATGACACACCTTCAGCCTGTTTAGTGTTAAGTTCTCTGCTTCCTGACAGGATGTTTACTTCTTTTTTCCCGCAGATCTTTTATGAACTCTTCCCTTCCGTCCAAAAATCAAAATGCACGAAATGGATGCAAGGAGTTAACTTTGTGCAAGCTCTTTGTTTGTCTTGGCCATCTAGTCAGTGATAGGAATCGTAGCCAAGAATAAGGGCAAAGAGGGCAGGAAGCACGCCTGCCTCTTTTTTGAAAAAATAAATTAGCTGTAAGTTATTGCTATTGCTTTCTATCAAAGTGTGGTAAAACTGCTCACACCATTGAACCTAATTTGATCTGATTCAACAGACAGTGGTTGTTTTTTTTAATCCCTCAGTTGTGAGTTTTGCACAGCTATGCATGTTTTCAAACCAGGGGCTTTGATGGTTTAACTTTTTTTTTCCCCTATCTTATCCTATGTTTTTAGTAGTTTTGCTGTTTTCCACAAAACATTAGGTTATCAGAACAATTACTCATAAAACCAATTATAGATTGATTGAGTTTTTCTTTTTTTTCTTTTATTTTTTTATAATGTCGCTCTTTTCTTACTCATCCACCTACAGCCTGATTGTGAACTGTACTTGGCCGGGAACATCAGCTCTTCCTGCAGTCTGTAGTCTATTTGCTCTCCAGCTGCGGTCCAAGCAGTCGTCATCCTATCACAGCTCCAGAAGTTGTTTTTCTTTCACCCAGCTGTCACTTTTGCTTAGTTGATCTTCCAAGTTTCTTTTGTTCTCTCAGCTCGCGTTACTATCAATTTTGATCCTAGCCCGCGTTATTTTTATTTACACTGCTGCCAAAATCTTGAATAATTACATCACACAGCTCTCCGACTGTAAGCTCTTAAGAAAAAGTGGATTTCTTCTTTGATTTTACATCAACATCTGGATTAAATTGTATGCCGTTTTGGATCAACCAGTTACATAAAGCACTCTTTATCCCCTTTTTCTTTGACAGTGATGTCTTATATGAATGTTGTCCTGGGTACATAAAGCTGGAAGGGATGAGAGGATGTCCTGCAGGTATGGTATTGCTCTATGAACTTTCCTGTCAAAGACCATTTAAACTTATTTCATTTTTTTATGTTTCCCACTCTCCATAGTGGCTCCCATTGACCATTTATATGGTATGTTGGGGCTTCTAAAGGCTACAACCACGCAGCAATATGCTGACATGTCAAAGCTCAGGGAGGAAATTGAAGGCAAAGGCTCCTTCACCATGTTTGCACCAAGTAATGACGCCTGGGATGAGCTGGACCCTGTAAGTAAACTGTTCATATGCATTTTTATTACCAATCTAAAAGAGACTAATTTACGACTCTCTGATAATGTGCCGTCTTTAGACTGTACGGTCTGATCTAGAGAGCAATGTGAATATTGAGCTGTACAACTCGCTTCACTATCACATGGTGAACCACCGACTGATGACCAAAGACATGAAGAATGATATGACCGTCACTTCGATGTACAACAACCTTGGGATTTACATTAACCACTATCCAAATGGGGTCAGTCTATATGAAGCAAAGTACTAGTCCAATACTGATAGTACGGGATAATAAAAACATTTCCTCTTTGTCAAGGTTGTGACTGTGAACTGTGCCAGGGTCATCCACGCTAACCAGGTGGCCCAAAACGGTGTGGTGCATGTCATTGACCGAGTCATCAGCTCTGTGGGTAACACCATCAAGGACTATCTGGAAAGCAATGAGGATCTCGCCACTTTTACTGTACGTAGAATCTCATTTAGGAAAATGGTATCAAATCAACATCATGAACTGTTGAATTCAATGTGATGTTTCCATATAAAACACTCGTTTTTGTTTTTTTTCCTCAGGATTCAGCTTTTGCTTCAGGTGTGATGGACAAGTTGGGAAAGCCTGGTCATTATACTTTGTTTGTTCCAACTAATGAAGCTTTTAATAAACTGAGTGACGGCTTCATGGAGAGAAACACTGAAAACCAGGCTGTTATTACAGGTACGTAACGCACTAATGAGGAAATAAGTGAAAGGTTTAACGTGACTGCTCACACTTCGTTCACGCCTGCTTTTGCGTAATGTGCATCAAAATGTGCACTTTGGTTCAAAAATGGTACATCACTGTTCATTGTTTAAAATTACTTTTACCAATTGTTTGCTCAGTTAATAAAATAAATTTAAATAAAAAAAAAACTCTTGTAAAAAGTTCTTCAGAATTCAGTAACGGACAACTAAATCTGCATTTTAGTGGAAAAATGTTCCTGCATTCTTCCACAAAAAAAAAAAAAAAAAAAAATGCAGGAACTAATTGTTAGATTAGGATTCCAATCAGGAGTGCATGTTGCTTATCCCATGCATGTTGAAGTTGTGTAATCTGATTTATAAATCAAGATAAATAATCTTCATTTATCATAAATATATTAATATTTATAGATTCCATCACTATGAAAGACGGGTGCTGACGTATTTGCCTGTGTGAGTGTGTCTGTTTGTCTGTCTATATTTTACCAGAACATTTCAATAACCAAAGGATGGATTTTAATGAACTTCTCAGAAAGGTTTGTGTCAGGTGGTTGAGCTTGGATGGACATCTACATCTGTTAGTCTTTAGAGTTAGCCCGCTTTGAAATGGCTGCCACAGCTAATTGACATTTGCAAACACAAAAACAGTATAACGCAGTCAATGAAAGAAATACGCTAAAATAGGGTGAGGTAATAGTTCAAAGTCATCTACATCACGTCCTCCATGTGCTAACAGATTACGCAACTTCAGCATGCATGGGATAAGCAAAATGCACTCCTGATTGGAATACTAGCTAATTTAACAAGCTGAAGTCAGGTCCTCCCTAGTGAAGTTTTCTACACATTCATTTAGTTTAGAAATTGTGGGTTTCATGGATGAAAATTAAATATCGCAAAACTAAGTACTTCCCTGTTACAGCTAATCTTTATTATAATTTAGAGTAAATAGCTTGTGAAATTTGAACATAGGATTGTAAATGTGCTTGACCACGTGCAAAATTTAAAATTTAGCATGCCTTTTAAGTATTGCATGTTGCCAGCTATAGCATGCAAAAAGTTTTAAATAAAGATTTGTAAGTAATCCAGAGGCTGCAGTTTGCACCAGGAAAGGCAACTGCTATTTAGTTATGTATTTACTTATACGTAACCAAGAAAGTCCCACTGAAATCACAGATTTCTTTTGCAAGGGAGACCTAGCATGTATGTTTTTGGACTGTGGAAGGAAACTGGAGAAAACCCACACAAACACAAGAAGAACATGCAAATTCCACACAGAAAGACCCCAGGTCCAAACCAGGGATTGAACCTGGGACCTTCTCACTGTCTCTCATACAACATAGTTGCTCTCACCACTGTCCTGTAAACTTTTCCTTTTGACCTTTGTTGACACCCTTTCGTTGCAAATCACTCCTGAAACAATTTCACACAAAAGTTGTGAAATTGTGCTGCCACGCAATACAACTGCCAAATATAGTGTGTGAATTTGCTCGCTGTGGCAAATCCTGCAGGAAGCATCTGAAAAAAACAACAACTTGTACAATCTGAGCACTCTGAGTATGGGCCAGGGTTGACTCGTGACTACCATCACACCAAATTTTAGCTATTTGTACATTTGACTGTGATTTTGTTTGTTTGTTTTAGAGCAATTAACCGTGGCAACAGTGAGTCATTTGTAGATGACGGTTAAAGGATTACATTGAGAAAGTAGTAAAATTCATTCAGTGGTTCACAGGATTTTCTGCTGATAGACCATGCGCATAGACACAGCCAATAATCACCTGTCCTTCATGGTGGCAACATGAGGACATTGTGATTGTAAGCATGTTCACATGCCAATGTGAAAGCGTAGCTCACTTTTTTAATGTGTATATGTTCAACATCAGAGAGGCGCTGACAGAAATTCTAAATCTCCATTTCCACATAAAGAATAAGTAATCTACCACGGCAAGCAAATCCATCCCATCCTCACAGCTGGCCATTCTATAAATCCCACTATTGTTACATACCAAAAGGCTGAGGTATTTGTCCACCACACATTTGCAAAGATTAAAATGTGTGCCAAATCCAGCCGATAGTTCCACAGAGGAGTTCTTTTTTCTATTTTGGATCCAGAGCCAGTGCTTGCCTCACTGGCTTGTCTTTGATACCCCATACAGGCATCAAGGTAAAAATGCAACATTTATCTACACATATACACATAAGGAGCAGCTGTGCAGAGAACCTTTAGTTATTTATTATTATTTTGGGGGCATATGTCACAAAGAATCAAGCGATGCTAATGTCAAAACAGCTGTACATACGCTCAATCTTTAGTTACAGCTAAGTTGCACATCTGTTGCACCACATACAATTAAACCTCCACAAAACACCCACATCAATCATCCTAGTGTGCCCCAAAAGAATATATCAAGATCAGCCAACTATTTGTGCAAGATTTTCAAATGCCTCTGAAAATGTTTCTCGGTGTTTTTATAACATTAAGCTTTAAATCTGAACATCTAAAGTAAACCACATGAATCATGTTCCAGACATGTTTTGTGCATTCGTCTAACGTCTAAACATGAAAACCATGAAATTGAACCTTTTCTATGCAGTGAAGATCATTTCTTTTATAATTATAAGTACAGTATGTTCACAACTGTTGCACTGAGAGTTAGGATTAGTTTTTGACACGTGTATTTACATATGAGCATGAAAAAGCCTCTTCAGTGAGTTGATTCTTTTGACAGTATAATAACCCTCTGTCCAATTCTCAGAACTGTTTTGGACCGAACTTTCTAGGACAGCTTCTTCAAGAGAGAACTTTATTTGATACAATAGGGTTTTTGATTAATATGAATCAGAACACAGAAATAGCTTCATTTGATTTTGTGTGAGTTGGAAAATCTCAAGTTGCCAGCTGTACATTGGTACTTTTGTAGTTGGAGTTAGACAGAAAATTAGTTTCAATTCATTCGTGACAAAACTGATTAAGTACACCTGAATAAACACAGAACATGCACGTTTCTTACTTTTGCTTGTGTGTTAAGTAATAATCATGATAGTAAATGACTCAAAACTTACAACCACATTTATTTTTTCCTGTTTCATCACTGCTTCAAACTGACCCAAACTATCAGCCTTGGTGAACAACCACTTGTTGAGCAGCATCCAGTGTGCAGAAGCAATCATGGCGGGAACGGTGTATGAGACCATGGAGGGCAGCACCATAGAAATCGGCTGTGATGGTGACAGTCTCACGGTCAACGGCGTCAAAATGGTGCTGAAGAAGGACATTGTAACCTCCAATGGTGTCATTCACCTTATAGACCAGGTGCTTCTTCCCAACGCAGGTAAATCAGTCTTGATTTTTTTTCCTCTCAGTTGTTTGATTCTACCATTTTCTTTGAGTCTCATTGTGTTTGTACGTTCACTTCAGCCATGGAAGTCAAGGAATTGATGGGAGATTCTCTGAGCATTTTCAGCGACTTCATTGGTGCAATGAAATTACTTTCTACTCTGGAGATGGAGACTCAATACACCCTCCTGGCTCCTCTGAATACTGCCTTTACTGGTGAGTTTAAACGAGTTCTTGTCAACCTAAAGGAAGCATACAGTTGTGGCCAGATGTTTACATACACCCATTTAAAGTGGTATTTTAACCAGCCACTAGGGAGCACAAGCCAGTGTATCCCTTGTGCCCGTCCCAAGCCTGGGTAAATGGTGAGGATTGTGACAGAAAGGGCATCTGACGTAAAACACTTTTGCCAAAACTATATTGTGAGTTCATCAAAATGAAACCATACCAGACCGGTCGAGGCTCGGGTTAACAATGACTGCCACCGGTGCTGTTGACAAACAGGGTGCCGGCGGAAATTGTGCTACTGTTAGTCGAAGACCACGAGGAGGGAAACGTGTCAGGAGAAGAGGAAAGTCAAGAATGTAGGACTGAGGTTTGCGACTCTAAATGTGGAGACAATGACAGGTAAAGGTAAAGAGATGGCTGACATGATGCAGAGAAGGAAGGTAGATGTTTTAGGTGTCCAAGAGACCAAGTACTAAGAGGAAGGCCAAAGAGGAGATATATGGATGCAGTTAGCGAGGACATGGAGGTAGTTGGAGTGAGGACAGAAGATGCAGAGGACAGGGTGTGATGGAGGAGGATGACTCGCTGTAGCGACCCCTGAAGAGGGAAAAGCCAAGAGACGACGAAGAAGAAGGTTTAAAGTGGTGTTTTAGGGAAACTTTTAAGTAATTTTTTTTACTTTTGCACAAAGGTTGAAATTGTGTTTATGTTTGAATCATTCAGATATTAGTTGGAGGTGGAGTTAAAGTTTTATTATCCCATCCACTTTGAGCATTACATCATTACCAGTGGCAGCAAAACATCCCCACAGGATGATGCTGCCACTTCCATTCTTCTTAGGTTCTTAGGTTCGAAAGCTTTAACTCAACTCGTCCAAATGTGGGGTTTTTTTAATCATTGTGGACAAACACCTCAGTCTTTGCCCCATTTAAGGGTAAAAGTTTTATCCTGGAGTTTGTCTACGTGGGCAGCTGCAAATTCAGTCAAGATGAAGGATTTACTTTTGGAGACGGTGTCTTTCTTGTTCAGCAACCTCAGTTTATGTGGACGTTGTCTTCACTGTCAACATTAACACTACTCTAACTTAATGAAGGCAGCCAAACAGATGACTTTATTCTGTCAATAAATGACTAAACTGCTGTCAATCATAATCACTTACTAGAAATTATGTATATTTATGTGAATTCATGTGTATTTGAGACTGGATGTGGAATTATGACCTTATAGAGATTAATGAAAATATACAACAAATGCAAACTCTTGTTTCCAGTTCTAGTTTTTAAAAAAATTAAGTTCAGTGATATAAAAAATTTCCACACTCTGATATAGTGTTCATGCGTGCACATCTGCTCACAGACTCATGTTCATGTTTGTGCTGATGTTCAATGTTTTATGTTATGAGTGCTTAGTGTATATTTAGTTGATGTTTTTCTTAGTTCATATCTTAGATGTTATTACTGTTTTTCTTATACATTTTATTGTTGGATGTAACTGGGACCCTGTGTACATAATTTCGCTCCACCACATGTACCACATGAGGTGCGAATGACAATAAAGAAACTCTGACTCTGACTCTGACTCTGACTCTGACTCTGACTCTGACTCTGATAGAATAGTTTTTTAAAAAAAGTTAAGTTCTAACTCATTATGATATTCATGCTTATTATGAGTTTAATTATTCCAAATCATTTCCTACTTGCATCGTGAAAGTCTTTTAAATAATGCAAAAAAAAAAAATTCTGTTCAACATTTTATATACGCTTTTGAATCTGTAGCTTTTTGTTTGCTCCTCAGATGAGGTAATGTCAGACGAGGCTCTTCTGAGACTGACTCTGGAAAACCACATCTTGAAGCTGAAAGTCACACTGAGTGAGCTTTACAACGGCCAGCTGCTGGAAACGCTCTCTGGCAAACTGCTCAGAGTCTTCATCTATCGCACTGTGAGAACTCTTTGTATTGTTTGTGACACTTAAATAGAGACTATTAACAGATACAAATTAAAGCTCAAACACATAAAGCAGCCGCTTCCACAGTGGAAATCTGAAGTCAGTTAAAGCTCTTTGCTGACATTTTTTTTTTTTTTGCTCTAACGGCTATAAACAAATGTGTTAAAGCAGCTAATTAGTCCAGTTCTTGACAGAGGAAGTGTGTGTTTTCTAGTGTGCTTGAGACGCATCAGATGAGATGAATTTCTTCACTCAAACATGGCAACTTTTAGTTTGATTGATTGTGATCAGAGAGGATAGTGTGGATCAAATACGGTAAATGGTTTCCAGATTTGGAGTGTCTGTAAAGCTGAAACTATATTTTTTTGGAGACATTTTAGGCTGTGTGCATAGAAAATGCATGTATGGTGCGTGGCAGTAAAGAGGGAAGCAATGGCGCCCTTCATCTTATGAAATCCTTGATCCAACCGTCTGAGAAAACGGTCTTTGAACTCCTGAGTACTGATGGGCGCTTCAAGTAAGAACTTGTTTTAATTGAATTTTAAATGTTTAAATGTTCTCAATGTTTGCATACTTGTTCTCCTACATTAAAAGCTATTTTCAATGTATTAGGTATAAAAGATACCTTATTGTAATTTAAAAAGAAGCAACAACTTCATTATACAAATTAACACTCATTAGAGGAAAAACACACGTATGGCAATATGTGGAATGTTGTGATATTTAGGAGTTACACAAATTTTACCCCACATGCCTTTATATCATTTCCTTGAGTCAAAATGTCACAAATCTAATTTCTGTTATGCTTACGCGCATATGTAAAGTAAAGTAAGTAAAGTGCTCTGTTGTCATCATCGTATGTTCCCATACAATGTACAATGTTCATTTTTGTCCAACAGTTTTGTGGTCTAATTTTTGTTAACTGTTTTTTTCTGCTATTTTCTTTTTATTATAGGATTTTCTTGTCACTGATGAATGCAGCAGGCCTGGAGAACTTACTAAAGCAAGAGGGCTCATACACCGTCTTTGCACCAACTGATGAATCCTTTGAGAGTCTTGGTGAAGAGGACTTAACTATGCTTAAAAGTTAGTGCTCTATTGACATCCAGCCATGACTATTTAGTTTGTTTTAGTATTCATTTATGTGATTAAAAAAATGCCATTCTCCTTCTGAATCATTTTGTTGCCATTGATAGGTGATCCCAATTTTTTGAGAAATATTCTCCTCTACCACTTCAGCGATGGCATCTTCATCAACGGAGGATTAGAGCGGGGGGTTACCAATCTTCTCAAATCCCTGCAAGGCAGCAACCTGCAAGTTAAATCTGTACGGCAAAATATTTGTGATTTTGTTGTCAATATCAGGGTCTTTACTATCAGTAGGCAGTAACTGAGTGATTGTATGAAACTGCCTTTATGATGCACACGTGATTTTTTTTGATAATGACATTTCTCATAGATGCAGCCACGCAACAAAATGGAAGTCGGCATTTGGCTTATCCGGCTCACAAAATGACAATATATACATATATTGCAGCAGCCATCTTAGATTTTGACGTAGACGCCAAATTTTTAAAAAGAACCTTTCTTTAGATGTAGAGACACTCAAAAATGGAAGATAGTTCCTCACTCACTTTTAAAGTTATTATGCTCACAACATGCACAGATGAACTTAGGTTAGGATATTTCCTGTTCCCCTTTTTTGCTCCACGATGGGGACAAAAATAAGAACGGGAACACTGATTTACAGATATTTGTGATGTGGTTTAGACCTGAAAACGGTTGTGTACATCAGCCCCTGACAACATAACACAGTCCTGAATGAAACTACCTAAAATGTAAAGGTTTAAAATGCAACAATGTACAAACTACATAAAACATTATAAAGCAAGCTAACCTCTATAACTTATTACAAATTAATTTTATTTTTGTTCACAGACATTGTCTTGAAATCCATAAAATCTGGACATCTTGGTACAAGAGTTTGTTTTTAGACATAACTCAACTCAAAACCAAGAAAATAAGATCCATGCATTCTTAGTTTGTGGCTTTCATTTTCTCATTTCCCAGGTAAACAATTCAATCTATGTTGACTCAGTGGCTGTAGCAGACAATGACCTGATGGCCACAAATGGTGTGATCCATGTGGTGAAGAATGTTCTCTATCCTGCTGGTGAGATCAGAAAATAGCCAACTTTACGGCATGTTGCACCAATATATAATAAATAGTAATAAGTATGTGACACACATTACTTATAGAGCTTCCTGTGGGCCGTCAGGACCTCCTGAAGCTTCTGGAGAAGATCATTAAGTCGATCCAGTTTAAGGTACAGAAAGAAAAATATGTAATTGTATTGGGACCAAAATGTATTGTCTTATGTTTATTTTGCCTCATAATTTCCATTTGGTTGTTCTTGATGCTCTCTAGTTTATTTCTGGATATTCATATGTTGAGATTCCACTCACTTTCCTCAGTAAGTGTCAATTTCTGCCATTATTCCTGAATAAGGTGGTGTTTTGTGTGGCGTAATTGTTTCGTAAGGTGCAACAAACTAAAACTGATTTCATTACTTTACAGAGATGACCATCACTACCACTCATTATGTTGAAGGTAAGACACTAACCAAACAACTAAGAGTTTTACATGTACAGTAAATAGCCTAGGCCAGTGGTCTTCAACAAAAAATCATAGGTCCTTTGAGAAAAAAAAAGTACAAGCAAAGTTCTATTTTAGGTGTTCATATTGGCAGCTTTTCATAAATACATGGAAGTCCATGAAGTTTGGACAAATTGTATATTTTCTCATGTTATCTCATCTTAAAACCTCTATTTGCTTTTCAACTTTTCACTTTAAACAACAGATCATGCTGACGTTCTTCACTCACACATAGAATTGGTTTTATTAGGCTTTTACCTTTCTGTAGGCCGTATTTTCTTTTCTCTTCTTGCGAACAAGCAGAAGAAACAAAGAGAGATGAACAATCAAGTAAATTACAGTAAATGCTAGAAAACATGTCCAGGTTATAATACTTTAGAAATTTAACAACTGATCTGGGTAAAGATAATACTTCATTTGAGTCTGGAATCATTTGGAGTCCCCTAGCCTATGGATAATCCCAATGGAATACAGATTTAATGCTGGTGCTTTTCTTAAATTGCATGAGTTAAAATCAATGTCATTTGTTTTACAATTAGTGTCTTATCTCAAATTGGCATTCATTATACGAGGTGCACTTTACATTCCTAACACAGTTTAGTTTAGTTTTTATCCTGGTTTGTTGATTTGATATACTAATGTTGACTCACTACTGCCCAAATCCACGTAGAAGCCTTGGAAACGTTAATCCGTTCCATTAGGGATTAGGTAATGAAGCAGTCAAAAGTAAAACCATGAAGACTTTTTGGATGTTTTTTTGTTCAGTTGGACCAAGTCATGGTATACATCTTTATAAACAGAAGATATTTTTGACATGTTAGGTCAGCAGTGGAAAAATAAAGGCCTTTGCAGGTAATTTGGCACATTTCATGAATTACAGAGTTTTGACTCTGGAACTCTTGAGCTTTTTATTTTTAAGCATTTGGAATCTGATGATATGCATGAACAGGAATGCAAATGTTGCATTTGATGAAACATTGACATGTATTCCCAACAGTGCAAAGACTGAGCTTATTCATTTTCCAAGAACTCTGTTTTTAATCAAATACAGAATGTAAAAGGGAAATTTCTCAACCTTTTTTTTTTGTTTAATCCAAGTTGCTGCTTCACAGCACATTCATCACATATTGGTTCATCTATGTTTTGTGCTTTCATAGAAGTTGTAAAATTTAAAACCCCCAGTTGTGATAGTTTCTGATTCTCACAAATGTCAGTAATTATGGTTAATTTGTCATCTCTCTCAAAAGCAAGTAAACTAAATAAGTGTCATACTACAGTCTAGTTATTTGCACAAAACATACTAAAATTTGGAATTGTGGAATCTGCTGTGTTTTAGTACACATAAGGTTAAATTTAAATAATCTGGATTACTTTATTTTCCTGACACGTAAAACCCCAGAATTGAAAGAAGATGGATTTTTTTTTCTTTTGACTGTAAATTGTTTTTTTAATGTCTTCTTTCAAAACATAGATTACTAATTTTGACATTGTATCAAAAGACTCCAGGCCTATACAGATTACCTGTTTAAAAACACCATGAAGAGGTTAGCTGGCATTCAAGGCCTATATTAATTTTGTCAGCCAAAAAGTGTAAATACATCAAGGAGGCATCTTTAGTGTCTCTGACTGTTTTGACTGTTGATACTCTGGTGCTCATTTGTGCTAGCTTTTAGCTCACTTAATTAGTTTACACACATTGTTGGTCTGCAAGTTGGCTAAATTACAGTGCATGCTAATAGAACAGTTCATTCTTGATGCCGATTATTTTTGTCATTAGTGTTTATGCATATTTGATTTAGTTTAGGAAAATAATTATCTTGAGAAAAAAAGTTTGGTAATTTAAAATCGCAAAATCAGTAATGTTAATATTTCTTTCTGAAATTTATAATTGATACTAATTTGTTCTCAGATCCAAGCCCTGAAACAAGAACAGTGACAAGAGTCATTGAAGGACAGCCATCTCTCACCAAGTTTACCAGGGTTATTGAGGGGCAACAGGTCAATACCAAGGTTACCAGAGTTATTGAAGGGCAACCAGCCAATACCAAGGTTACCAGAGTTATTGAAGGGCAACCAGCCAATACCAAGGTTACCAGAGTTATTGAAGGGCAACCAGCCAATACCAAGGTTACCAGAGTTATTGAAGGGCAACCAGCCAAGACCAAAGTTACCAGAGTTATTGAAGGGCCCAAGGTTACCAGAGTTATTGAGGGACAGCCAGCCAAGACCAAGGTTACCAGAGTTATCGAGGGACAGTCGGCCAAGGCCATGCTTACAGAGGCTATTGATGAGCAGCCCACCATCACCAAGGTAACAAGAGTCATCGAAGCAGAACCATCAGTCTCAAAAGTGGTTGATGAGGGTGAGTCTTCATTGACTAAAGTGACAAGGGTCATTGAGGCAAAACCTTCCCTCACAAAAGTAACCAGGGTCATCGGCCGACAGCCCACCATCAACAAAGTTACAAGGGTCATAAGCGGTAAGCCAAGAATACATTCAGAAAATGGATTTATTACTCATAAGCAATTCACATAAGACTATGTGTGATATGTTGTCAGTTGTGACTTTGATGAAACATTGCTTCTTGGTATAAAATTTTATATAGTTGGAAAGCATTTTTATTTCCCAGTAAATGTTCTCGGTTTTGTTAGAAAAATATATTTGTGGGTTGAACAGAAAAATTCAGTATGTGAGTTGCACCCATAAAAAACCTTGCCAAATCTCTGCCAATACTAGACAGATTATTCTGCTTTTGGCTTTTGCATTAGGCTTCTAGTAACTTCTAGTATTGACAATTAGATGCATGATTACCAGCACATGTGAGCATAGACCCTGCTACATAATCAGTTGGTGTGTGCACCAAACATACCATGTTTGATTGCTCTTCGTAGGGCCTGTGTCATAGATTAACTTCAAGCATTGTTTGGAAAGAGCCTTAGTACCATCTCCATAATGAAGGCCAAGTTATGTGTGTGAGTGTACTATGTTTTGTCATCATTGTATGTTTCTTTACAATAACAAAATTAGTTCTCTGCATTAAACCCATCACACATGAGATACACCCTGGTGAAGCAGTAGGCAGCTACTTTATGTAAGTGCCTGGGGAGCAGTTAGGGATTAGATGTCTTTCTCCAGGACACCACAACATGTGGGCAGGACAGGGAGTTGAACCTGTGACTTTCTGGTCCCAAGTTGGCTGCCCTACCTCTACACCATCTCAGCCACTATAAGTTCCATACAATAGGGGTGTCAAAGACAAGCCAAGAAGTGGGAATCCCAAGAACACCACACAACAAGGGGGACATTTTCCTTACTCTGTCAGCCCATAGGAACCCTTAGGACAGCTATACAGTCAAGGTTTGCAGAATGATATGGACAAGAGTTCTCTACCCAGAAAAAAATGGAACAGACTACAAACCATCAGAGCTGCAGATTTTTTTTATGGAGAAGATGGAATGGTCTGCCTCTGGTCTTGACCTCAACCCCTTTTAGCACCTGTGAGATCAACTGGGGTATGATGTTTCTTCCAGAGTGACCAACACAACCACATTGGCTGACTTGCAACAAATGCTGTTTGACAAATTAGATTCCATCCCACAGTAGTGTGTGACCAAACTGGTGAGCAGCATGAGGAAGAGATGCCAGGCTGTTCTTATTGTGTATGTTTTTTTTTGGTATGGTACTCAGGGCAATGTTTGTTAAGTTAATAAATTGTGAAATTACTGTCTTGTTTGTTCAGGCTTCAGTAATCCATCTAACAAACAACACCAAACAGTCAATAGATGAATACAGTGTTTGACGTTGACAAACTCTGCTGCTCAACCTGAAAAAGCATTGTCCTTACAAAACTGACAACACTTTGGAGGAAATATGCAGGCTTCTGACTTGTTTGAAATTTATTGTCACGAAGCAGTGTTACATCAAAGAAATAAATAACTAAACATACATTTGCTTACTTTTTGTTCTATGTTTAGGAGTAAAATGATGAGTCAGATGACAATCTTTTCTGATAATTTGTTAACCTGATGTTTTTGGCTATAGGCACAGACCTTGGTGCAGATAAGAAGAAGACAGAAACAGGTGTGTTTTTTTAATACTCTTTGAACAGCATGAAAGATGAGATTTTATTTTAAATGTTCGGTAAGGTCTCAGAAAAGACATACACTAGCTGGTCGACATAATAACTGAACATTATCTCATGTAAACTACAAATTTCACTTCCTTACTAACCATCATTTAGTTCAACATAAAGCATAATGTTTTTCCTCACTTGCTCTCGGGCAAGACGGATGCTTTTCTTCCCTCTCCCATCCTCCTCTTGCTTTTTTGCTCTCTGTCTTGTGTACCGGAGCTTCTATTTACATATCTTATAAATTGTAAACTACTGTCATGGATCTGATCAGCTGGACTTTCAACGCAATCTATTACTTTTTTTTTTCAACCAAGTGGCAGGGTCCTGGAGAACCCTCATGCCCCACTGAGACGCACGCGGCAGGGTACGTCATGGATCCATGGGGCATTTGGACATTGATGTGCCTTTCCTTATTGTCTCAGTAGGACGCCAAAGATGTTTATATCATTGGAATCATGATAGCAGGGTTTTTGCTTTATGGCACCGGTGGATACCTATGTTATCGGCTATTAAAGAAGATGGTTGCAGCAGTTTTGGCCATGGCAAAGCTGCTGACCTTGTATGAAGGTTTGGTTTGTGCTTTGAGCACTCAAAATCAGCTGATTTATGAGCTAAACCATAAGATGAAAGCGATTTGTGAGAATCGCAGGCAACTTGCAGCTTTTGGGACTCGCCAGCATGTTGGGAATGACCTTGGAGGGAGCTAATAAGCATGGACCCATGGAATGCCCACAAATCTGGCCATTTTGGATCATCAAAAGTACCAGCAGAACTCAAGGCTGATGAGAAATAACAGTCTATCTGAAAAAAATCAAGAACTGTGGCTTATCTGAATCTGACTCACCCGTTCAGCCTCGAAGCAGGCCGACTTGTCAAATTTCTCCTGGGATATGTGTAAACTAAAGCCCCCAGTATACTGCCGCGTACGTCCGTTCATGTGTACGTATGTGTGTACTGTACGCAGAGGGTTCAGACTTCGTACTCCTCTGTACACCCTGAGCAGCTGCAGAGCAGCTTCGCAGACAAGGGGCGTTTACCTTCAGGAAAAATTGAGGTCGCCGATTGGTCATTTACTGACACGCCTACTGGATTGATTGACAGGTCGGAAAAAAGAAAAAAAGCGAGCACTGGCAGCCTCAGCTGCAGCGGTGTTCTGTGTTTATATGTTAATAAAAAGATCTAAAAAAAAAAAAACAGGGAGCGCTGGCTCTACAGCCCACACATAAGACCAGCCCACCAGGAAATCTCCAGACCCTTCCGCAGCCACGCTGGACCTGAGTTTAATTCGCTCGTGACAAATTCCTTCATTTCTCACCATTTCAGTCATTGCATCAACGGAGGAGGAAGAGATCACTGCCTCTTGGCAAATAAACAAAAGAAAAGGCCAGATCAGGGATGAGGAAGGGGAATTTAATACATTGGTGTCGCATACAAAACAGTCCGTTGCTGGTCAGTTTATTGTGCGACACCGCGTACGCGTATGTGGTCGTAAAAATTTGAGCTTTGCACGGACATGCCCTGGGGGGTACGCTCGTACCTCTGCGTACGTACGTACGTACCTCTGCGTACGGACGTACACGGGAGTATACTGGTGACTTAAGAAGGATCTACCTTTCGCAACAAACCCCCCACCCCCCCTCCCTGAGAACTTCTGTGAATGCTTATCAGAGCTACACCGGCTGACACCAACATCTTAACAGGACTATGGTGCTATCTGGAAGTGCTTCATGGACAAATCTCACCATCTTGTTGTCAAATACTTGTGTAATGTGTTTATAAATGAGCTTGCTGGTAGAGTTTTTTGATGTCTTAAATAGTGTCCTGATAAGAACAAGGTGTGAAGAAATATTTTTTGTAATACCACTATCCTATCCTCATGGCCTTTTCCCCTTTTTCTATCTAAAGAATAAGGTGCCACACTCTTAGGAGCAGCAGCAACGTGCACTCTGCCCATCTTTCTGACGACTGTACGAACATAATCTCACTGTACATTGGTGCAATGATAATAAAGTTTATTCTGATTATGATCATTTTTCTTGTGCTTCAATTTGAAGACACCATGACTAATTTACACTTTGCAGAACATGATAAAACACAAACAGTAGCTTGACTACTCAGACGACTGTTAGTTTTCAGCAGTTTCCTTATCCTAAAGACTTGATGCTTTCTATTTTTAGTTCAGTGACAAACCAATGACCCAGATTGTTCTATTCTGGTTCTACCCATATCCTATGTCATGCTTTGTAAAATGCCTGTTACAGTTTTGACTGAAGCCTGAGACTCTGACTTAAAACACCATCCAAAAAAAAAAACTGTTTATTAAAACGGACACATATTAGCAGAAACACTTGTTGTTCATTTTATTCATCTGATAAAAAAAAAACAAGTCAAATATTGAATTGTCCTTAAAATTGAATTTATTATATTTTCTTGTCCTCAAAGCAGAACTTTGTAGCCAATGAGAGTATACAAATCTTGAATATTAGGACAAATAGTATAACCATAATGACATTCTTAGCATCTACATAACATTTTTATTAAAAAAAAAAAATTTACAACAGCTGCATTTAGTAATGACCACAGTCTCACTGCAATCTCACACATGAAGTAAACCAGACTATACAACTAGTTGTGGCAGAAATATAAAGTGCCACCTTTAGACCCCTTTGTCCCTTTTGCTAACTTTATCTCTATTAAAACTGTTGGCAATAAGGTGAAATGTTTTGGGCTAGTCAAGGTCAATTAATGTTTTTAGGTTGGACCAGCTAAGGTCAACTATTGTTGGGAAGAAAATGTAATCTTATTCATGTGCAGTTGTGCTTTTGTGTATCATTTTATAAGAATTTGTTTGTGCTTTCTTTTTGATTGGTGGTGAAAGTGGAGGTCTATTGTGGGTTGAATGCACCTGTCTGCCTGCCCATGTCACTTAGCACAATATTTATGTTAATAAATGGCTTTCAATATTTTGTTTTTATCCATCTGAAGGTGAAGCCACATCCATCACAGTGAAAGAGCCTCAGATCATTGCAGGTAGGGGTATCTGCATCTAACTGCTTCTTTTCAGAATGTTTACAGTTGTCTTTGAAATAATCCTCATTGTAAATCTTAATTTAAAAATCAAACCACTGATTACTTTTCAAGAAAGTTAACTTGATAACATGTGTACCGTAGATCTAATTTTGGTGTAACATTTTAAGCTTGAACATTGTTTTGCATTTTGGATCTAAACAATCTGTTTTGTTCAGGCCCAGATTTCTCTAAATTCACCAACTTCCGTGGAAACCCTAGTCTGGTCAATGAGGAATCGGATAGAATTACCAAACTCATTCAAGGTAAAAATGCAAAACATGAGTTGCACAGATTTTGATATATGTGCTTGCATAACTGACTGTGATGCATTAATTTAGGAGGGGGAAGGGGATTTTCTGCTGCCAGAAAAGCTCCAGGTAAGAGTTTAAATAGGTTTTGTTTATGTAAAAAACTGAATAAATAAAAATAATTTATCAATTAAAGTTAAACCACAGACTGTATTTTTGGATTTCGCTTCACTTTTTGTGTTTCCTTTGTGTGCATTTTGTCTGAGTCTTTTCAAACATTTTTCAGGTTTCATATTTATACCGTTTACCTTTGTTCGTCAAAGTAGTCCTTCGTTGTCCCATGTGCTAACACGGACGTTTCTTTGACAGTCGGAATACGGAGAAGAGCAAGGCTGGTCAGGCGTCAACAGAAGCCAAGCGAATGAAGGCAAGAAAGAAAAAGGACGCTGACGCTCCCCACAGAGACTGACCGTGTCTCCAGTGCTCCTGGCTGAGTGCTGAGAGCTTTGGAGAAGTAGAGATTTATTGAAACAATCTAGTTATTTCATTGTCTTAAAAATCCTCTCAGCTAAAATGTGTGAAATGCATGTGTTCTTTAGCTTTGTAATTACATTAAAATAACTTTCATGTAAGTAAAGCAACTATGAGACTTTCTAATGGGATAAATTGGGGCCAAAGTATGAGACGTTTTACAGATTTGGTTTTAAAAATGTGCCATTTTGCAAACAAACGTCCTAACAGGACATTTATGTGCTTTGTTAGAGATTGCATTCTGAAACAGTATTTTGCTAATAAAATGCTGTACTAATTGTCTCTAAATTATCAGAAATCATAGTTGTTGTTTGTGAAATTGTTTAACGCTGTAAAACTTTTTTTGCGCTTGAATGCTTGACTCATGTACTGTATATATCTAACAATAATTAACATTTTTTAAAGAGGTGCTAAATAAATCTGTAAATACAACTAACGCCTTAGGACTTTGTTTGTTCTTGCTCTACAGATGATCCTACAATAAATAATACATTTGTTCTCAGTTGCTTTAATTATTTTGAAACAGGTGATCAATAAAATTAGCTTTAAAGCAGTTAAAGGTCTTTCTTGTTTTTTAAATATAAGGACTTTTAGAACATGTATTTTTTTCAAGAACATTTACACTAAAAGTGAATTTAGGGTTGCCCAATCCTTTTTCTTAGGGAATACTCTCCAAGCTTTAACAGTGTCTTGGCTCCAACACATCTGATTCAAATGACTGAATTATGTCCTCAGCAGAAGCCTGGTGATGACACAATAATTTAAATCATGTGTGCTAAAACAGGCCAACATTTAATCTATGCAACACAGTGGATCCTGAGGACCACATGAAGAA